TTATTCCAGGCAGAACAGGAAGGTGAGTGGGGAGGCAGTTATTGTTTGGAGGGAGAGTCCCCCTCGCCTACAGGAAGCCACGACTACGTGTCAGAGCAGGGAAGATGGCCATGGGTCGTGTTCGTCGCCCGATGCGGAGTTCGCGAATGGAAGCAAAATTTTGCAAACGGTGCTGTTTATGAACTGAATTGTTCGTGAACAGAAGCATTCGTGAACCGAGGTATTACTGTATTCAGTTTATTTTATCCATATTAAACCAACAAATATGCAAAAAAAAAACCAAAACCCTACCCAACCTTTCTCACATTCATACATCACTCAAGGACCTGCTGAAGAGCAAAACCTGGTGTCTGCACATCCTCTGCCCTTCTCAAATCCTTTCAGCCAGAATTCTGCCAAACACCTTCCTTGTACATTTAACAAACTATTCCCTATATTCACTCTTTCTTGCTTTCCCTTTATACTGGGGAACAATAGCAGTATTCTTTCAATCCTCAGGTACAGATGCAGACTTCACTTTCATATACCCACACACTGAACAAGTCATACAGCCTTCCATAAGCAAACCACATGCATATTTTAACATTTCTCCAATACATTATCTACACTTGTAGCCATACCATTTTTCCAATATACTCACAGCATTTATGACATTCTTTTCATCTTTTTTTCTTAGACATAAATGTTTATAGCATTCATTTCAATTCTATTCTTTGACAGATTTATTTATTTATTTATGATTTATTAATAACATTTACATTCCACCACAATCCTAAGAAGATTCTCAGTGGCTCACAACAGCAAAGCAAAAACATAATAATACAAGGTAAAAAATGTGTATTATAAATATTGAAACTCCCACAGAAATAATACCTGGTGTCAGTCCCCAAAAAGCCCTCCAGAAAAGTTGTTTTCAACTATTTCTGAAAGGCAGATAATATTGGAGCCATTTGAACTTCCAAATGGAGGCCATTCGAAAGAGCTGACCCCATCATGGAAAAACATTTCCAGGATTCACCCCTCCACCTGCCAAAAGTGGGGAGATGCAGTCCCAACCAGCTGCTTCTCCATGCATGATCAAAGTGGTTGGGCTGACTCAAGTGGAGAAATGCAGTCCTGTAGGTGACTTGGTGCCAAGCCATAAAGCTTCATAGATTACAATTCACCACCCAGAAACTGATAGGAAGCCAATGCAGGACCCGTAAAACAAGTGTAATATATGCCCCTGGCAAATACCCATGAACCCCCAGGCCACTGCATTTTATACCAACTGAAGCTTCCAGGTGATCTTTAAAGGCAGCCCTATGTAGAGTGTGCTGCAATAATCTAATCAATATCACTGCAATAGTATCAGTATCATTTCCATATAAATCTTCAAAATATACTATCTCCAGCATTCCCTCACTTGAGTTTCATCTCAAATAATTTTATCACTTTTATGCTTAATTCCATTAAATCTGCTGAAGATTAGCCCTTTACACAGACTTCCAAAATAATTTTTATTTTCACCAATGATATCTGTGAATAATGGTGGAAGGTTCAATCAATGAATGTATAGAAAGTGAATGTAAGGAAAAAGCATGTGTAAGCTGCTTAGGATAGAGATGACTTAGGAAAAGTATATTGCAAAGTGAATAGGCTTGAATTACAGAATACTTTACATGAATATGGAGTTGAATTTTAAAATGGGAAAATGGAAGGAGAAACATGGAAATGGTAGGATAGTAAAAATGTGTATGAAAATGTCCCTTTGACCACTTCATTAAGTGGAAATAAGAGTTGGGCATGGCAGTGGGAATGGGCTACTGAAGGAGTGTATATGGTAAAACTAGAGGAAATATGGTCAAGAATGAATGGGTGCTGAATGAGCATGGACTAAATACAAAAGTGAAAGGCCAGAATGAAAGAAACACACTGAAGTGGTTTGGTCATTATAATCTATGAGAATTTAATTAAAAAACAAATATATGAAGGAAGAGACAATAGGTCAAGAGAACGGAGAAGACTGAAAAATCTGTGGTTGGATGGAGTTGGCGAGATCCTCAGAAAGAGAAAAATGGGACAGAAGAATTGGAGGGTACTGAAAGATATACTGAACAGTGGTGGTGTGAATTGTTTTATTTCGTGTCCTCATGCCTTAATATCTTTGGCTTACTATTTCTTACTCCTGTTCTGCACTTTGCATAACACTGCTTATGGGAAAAGGGAACAGCATGATGGGTATGTATGTGATGTATGTCTTAGCATTTTGCATGAACTATGAAAGCCATCAGGTGTAAGGCTGATATATTTGGACTGCAAAATTCCAGATGCTCTCCAGATAGCAACCAAGAAGTACAAAACACTTTAATACTAACCATAGCAGTCACCCGGATTTTTGCAACCCAGGTACATCATCTGAGTACCATGGAGCTAGTTTCTTTTGGCTTAGCATGTTGCTCAGGCGTTATTTTTCTAAGCCTGTCTGGCGACAGCAAGATCGATACGTCTAAAAGCATGAAGGCTAAGCCGATCACATTTGCTGCATCCTGTGGTTATTATGCGTTAGAGACAGAAGCCATTTGCTGTCGTTTCTGGCTTTTGAACGCTGCACTGAGAATGCATATATAAATACACAGGGATGCAGCGAGCAGCTAATAAAATGACTGACGACCGAATCCTGCACGGGCTTATTCAAGAAGTCCCCTTCTTCTCCGGGAGGAAGCACCTTATATTCAACAGGGCTTACTCCCTAGTAGGTATTTAGGGGACAGTGCTCGTAAAACACTGTCCGGTTCCACTTCGTTTCACAATGCGGGAAATCGGGGACGTTTTTCTCTGTTCAGGCGCCCTCCTCGGCTAGGGCGTAGGAGCTGAGCTTTCCAGGTCTAATTTCCTCCCGCTTCCCCTTTCGGGAAGGAAAGACGGACGGACGGACGGATGGAAGCAAGCGCCGGGAGCGCGCCGGGAGGATGAGTCTAGGGCTGCTCCACCCCTCGAGGAGCAGGAAGGGGAGGCCGACTGACCCAGCGAGCAATGCATTAGCAGTGACGCCTGTTTAGGCGAGGAAGGCTTTGCTGCTGAAGCAAGCAAAGAGGCACCCAAGATGGCCTCTGCTGCAGGAGCAGCCGTGGCAGCAGCAGCAGCAGAGGGCCAAAGGCTGGGGCAGGAGGCCGCGGTCGGCCGGCTCTTGATGCTGGTAAAGGAGGAGGTAGACGCGACGGCCATGGCCGTAGTCCGCAGCTGAGAGAAGCTGCTGCCGCCGTCGTGAGGTGAGCCCCCCTCGGGTCGGGAGACAATAGGGCGGAGGCTGCGGCCTCCTCCTTTTTTCTCGAGAGAGGAAGGAGGAAAGAAAGAGAGACAAACGACGATGCCTGTTTTTGTGTGAAGGAAACTTGGCTTTCTAATGCGCCTGAGAGACCGATATCTGTTTCTTCGCTTCTGCATCTCCCCTCCTCCATTTTTTCTTCCCTTTATCTGGGTCTGTAGGCCTCAGGCTTCCGCCGTTCTCGATTTCTGCCGTTCGCCGCCCCGGTGCCTTCCAAACCGAGCAGGGGAAACTGTGTCAGGTGTTGGAAGCCTTGAGCGGGAATGGCGGAGTTGTGCACCTTGGGCTCTTTGCGCGTTTCTCTATATTCTGAACCGGGGATGAAAGAAATAGATCCCTTAGGAGAGTACTTGTTATATTATTAAGTCGATAATCCTGGGCAAGTTTGCTTGGGGGTTCACCTCACGGACCTAAGCGAGAAGAACCGCTGCCATAAATCAGTTCTTTGCATCCCTCTTCAGAAATACACACTTTTACGATTAGGAGGATTTATTCCTAGGATATACGTGCTAGGTTAAATAAAACTTGAACATAGGATCTCACTGCGTGTGTCAAGTTCTGTGCTTGGAACTAGGAGTAGCCCCTGTTACAAGAGTGAAAATTACGTTAGTGTAAAGGGTCGGGATTTATACCTGTACAACTTGTCTGTACTGTACTGTATTGTATTGCTGTGAGTTGATTCATTTCCCCCCATCAGTCTTATTTTCCAGTTTTACCTAGTTAGTATGTACAAAGAAGAGTGTGAATTCACCAACATTTCATTTTTTAAAGTTCACACAAAGATTAATTTTGATCCTTTTTCTGCTTTTCCTAACTCTAAAACTTAATTTTGTTAATCAGCTTGCAGTTCACTGAATTCTGTTTTCTTCCCCACAGTATTTTGAAGACTCTCTCAGGTAGCGTTGAGTTTGTGTACCTAGGAAAATAAGGAGTGATAAATAAAAGTGAAATAGTATTTTAAGTATCTGGAGAAATGCTACTTCTTTGTATTTACCAAATATGAAAGAGTGTGTGTTGTGGTTTAAAAAATAGAGCAAAACTGTATTTGACAGGAAATGAGGAATACAGGTTTGAATAGCCTACTGTCCTAGCAAAAGCAATATTCTTTTTAATGAGAGAGTAGCAGGAAATGACATCTGGAGAATAGTTCATTAGGATGCTATTTAAAATACTGTACATAATGTACAAAATTAAATCTAATTAAGTTTTCTCTTTGTTCACCTGCTTTTTCTGAGAATGTTTTTAAATGGTCATATAATTGTTAGAAACTGATAAATTCTTGCATGCTTGATCTTTTTAAATCAGGAAATGTTTTGCTTATTTTGAGAAAGCTTCATCAATTTTCATTCTTTGTGAAAACTGTAAGTTTAGAAGTATGTATTTTTACTGTGATTCACTACAGGTTTATCCAAAGTTTCTTTGCTCTTGATTTTTCCCCATTTTTTTCATGTGGCTTATTTTATTTTATTTGTTTGTCAAAATTTTTATGGATGCCCATTTCACATGAAGTGACACTTATTTTATGGAATTGGCTCTCAAATAATAAATTGTATGTCAGTGAAGCCGTAGAAATAGGCTATTATTATATCATTAATGGATGTTTGGGCCTTATATGGTATAAAAAAGGGTCTCATTTCTAATTACATTGACAATTTAATTTATGGAATATCTTAATGCATTTTCTGTGGGACCTCTGAATGTACAAAAGTATAATTTTTGTATAATTGTGGTATAATTCCTGGATATTAGCTATATTGGTTGGCATTGATGGGGTTTGGAATCCAATATTGGTTAGAAGCTATAAGATCCTTTCTAGCCTTTTAGGTTGGAGGTATGTTAACTCTAGTTGTATATACAGTGGTACCTCAGTTCAAGAACATTTCTGTTCACGACCAATTTGGGTCACGAACAGCTCCGTTCGCAAAATTTTGCCTCCATTTGCGAACGCCGAATCGGGTGACGAACATGATCCGCGGCCATTTTCCCTCCCGTGACACGTGGTCGCGGCTTCCTGTAAGGAGGGGGGCTTTCCCTCCCAGCAATTACCGCCTCCCCACCCGCCTTCCTGTCCTCCACGCCAGAAGTCGCGTCGAGCAAGGTTAGCATTCTCTCTCTTTGTACTGTATTTTGTTTCATATTTTTGAGGTTTTTTTAAAAAAAACATATGGTTCAGAACGTATTAACCTTTGATTCGGGACGCGACCAAAAATCAGGTCGCGATCAAATTTGGAGGGGTCAGAACGGATTAACCGTATTTACATTGAACCTTATGGGGAAATTTGATTTGGGTCGCGACCAGAGTCGCGGAACGAATTAAGTTCGTGAACCGAGGTACCACTGTACATTTTACAAATAAATACTTCAATATTCACTGGAGTTTTAATTTGAAAGGCAGGCTAACATTGATGGAAAGAAGAGAGCCAGTTTGGTCTAATGGTTAAGGCCCCAGGCTAGAAACCCAGAGACTGTGAGTTCTAGTCCCGTTTTAGGCATGAAATCCCGCTGGGTGACTTTGGGCCAGTCACTCTCTCTTAGCCCAACTCACCTCACAGGGTTGTTGTTGTGGGGGAAATATGAGGAGGAAGGAGTATTAGATATGTTCGCTGCCTTGAGTTATTTACAAAAATAATAAAGGCGGGTAAAAAAAATCTAAAAAAGAAGAATTTCCTTCTATAGCCAGTAAAGTTACACCAGGTACTATAAAAATGGTCTCAGAAAAGATTGTATGAGGGATGGGAAAAAGGATCTAAAAAAACTGTGGGGTCTAATATTTAAGCAGAAATAATGAAGCTATATAGACAGATTAATTTTATGTTTTCAAAATATTCTCTTTGTCTTAGTCCTCTAATACTATGTTTACAGTCTGAGAAAGATTCACATTCTTAACCAATTGAATTCTTCCATCTTTATCAGTTGAAAGAACAGCCTTCTTACCAGTTCACACAGGGGCTGTGAATAAGAGACAGTAAGAGAAAGTCTTCACCTTAGGAACTTGAGTGATAAAAGGAAAACAATCAAGCTGCTGAGATTTCTGTTACCTTATCCTCTTTCAGTAAATCTTGTTAAACAAATTGAAAGAATTTTGGTTTCTATGAAAGTAGGGCAGCTAAGAAATTGACAAGTGTTACATAAGCATGGTAAATAATTTTAAACTATACATGAAGAATTCATAAATAATTGTTTAGCACTATCAAACGTCACAAATCAACATTGCAAAATTACTGTTCAATTTTCAGCTGTATTGAAAGTTATTTTATTTCTAGTTGAAGCAGTTAGCTATTTTAATTTATTGTATATATTTATAAATATTTACTTATATATCAAATTTGTCACCGCCCATCTTGTTAAAAAATGACCCTGAGCAGTTTACAGAGAAGCTAAAATCAATTAAAAATACAATTTAAAATAGTCCTGAATAAATAAGAATAAATATAGTCCAAGAATTGATGTTAATTGGCAAGTAGCCATTAACTATTGTTAACAGTAACAATTAGCAATTAACGGGGAGCGTCATCAGGGCACCAGCCACCCCCAGGATTGATTAAGATTCTTATTGCCCCACGCAAGCTGGTAGGGCCAGGTCTTTAGTCCTTTCCGGAAAGCCAGGAGGGTAGGGGCCCACCACATCTCTGGGGGGAGAATATTCCAAAGGGTGGGTGCAATGACAGAGAAGGCAGCCCTGCCAGCTGGCATTCTCTCGCTGACAAGGTCTGTAACATGCCCTCTCTGCCTGACCAGGTGGGACTGGTTGATATGATGGTCCCTCAGGTAACATGGACCCCTGCCATGTAGGGCTTTAACGGTAATAACCAATACCTTGAATTGAACTTGGAAGCAAACTGGGACCCAATGCAGCTCCCGCAGTAGAGGTGTTATATGTGCCATTCTCGGGGCACCCAACTTTGTCTGCGCAGCCACATTTTGAACTACCTGTAGCTTCTGGATACTCTTCAAGAATAGCCCCACGCAGAGTGCATTGCAGTAGTCTAACTGAGAGATGACCAGGGTGTGAATGACTGACCAAAGAGCCTTCTGATCCAGGAAAGGGTGTAACCGGCACACCACACAAAGTTGGGCAAGGGCCTTCCTGGCCACAACTGCCACCTACTGCTTGAGCAGGAGTCATAAGTCCAAGAGGACCCACAGAATCTGCACTGGATCTGTCTGGGGCAGTGCAACCTCCAAAACCAAAGATGGTAAATCCTCATATATAGAAGGGCCTCCAATCTGCAGCTTCCAATTAAAAACTCCAATCCACAGCCTCCAGTCCAAAACTCAATATGTAATTTATTGAGTTTTATATAGAGTATTTCAATTCATTCTATATTGTGCCCTTTTTAGTATAGCTTTTCAATAGGGATGTACAGATTCAAAGCCAGAATGGTATGACTCTGAATACTACACCTGTTGACACCATCTTAAAAAAAGTTCCCATCTTTACCTGGGCTCATACAGTAGAGCTAAGGAAGTGCTGAGAGGCTGCAACGAGGTGCTTGAGAACATGGGTGTACAATAGCTCCTCTTTAACTCAAATGTTGGTTTGCACAGCTATGGATTGCACAGTTACCATGTAGTCTAGCAAAAGATGTAGCTTCTTTAAGGAGGTGTTGCTGTGCATGTTCCCAAGTACCTTCTTGGATTCTGATCCAAAACTTCACAAAGCACTTTTCAGCATTTTAGCTTCCAATTCTAAACAAAAACCCACAAGTCCAATGTATGACAGTGTATCATTATCTTATACAGATCTGCACTTAATATTAATCTGCCATTTTACAGTACAAGTTAAGTACTAACTTGACCTTAGGTAGATTTGCAGGTGATTTTAGTTCAGTGAAACTAAGTTTAATAGGAGTGTATAAATTAAGCAAATGGTTGGAATAATTTGATATATATACATATATATATATACACACACCCACTCCTCATTTAGCAATTACCTCAGTT